GGCTGTGACTCTGTCTCAAAATGTAAAAATGACTGCTTGCTGACAGCAGAAGAAGAAGAAAAAGAAGAAGGAGAAGAGGAAGGACAAGAACAATAGAAGGGCTGGGCTGGATGGATGGATGTGGGGAGACACAAACATCTGCTCTCCCAAAAAACAAATACGGGGCCTTGAGGCTTTGAAGCAATCGGAGAGTCGTCAGTGATAGAGTGCAGAAGCGGTGAAATCAAGCGTCGCTAATCATCTCAATTTGAAGAAGTCACTCACTGGATATAATCCCACCACGAGGGCAAAGAGATAAATCAAGGCCTTGGTAATGCAGAAAGATGTAACACTGCGACTGCTGCCACTGCAGCACTTCTCTGCTGCCATCATTGCTGCATTCAGGAAGATGTGTAGAAATACGTATGGAAAATACAGACCACTGCTTTAAATGTACATTTTGCATCGTGCCATTATAAAATTGCTGATCGTGAACGGCTGTTGCCAAAAGAAAAACTTCGGCTGCAACCTTTTTGAAGGCTTCAAACAAGCCTGACACGCGGTTATTGCAGTATGACGCGAGCATTAGCATTTGCAGCAGTTTATAGCTCCCAGCGCTCAGGCTATTCCGTACAGACAACATTACTCTCCTCCTCCTTTTATCCTCAGCCACAGACAGAAATAGCTCCCTAACATTTCGAGCTCATCGCCAACAATAGTGACGACAGTGTTTAGGTGATAGGAGAGGGTGTGAGCGGCAGCACCATGGTGACCACAAGTTATTAGTCACACTCTTCTAAGGGGTGAGTTGACCAAAAACACAGCGTCAGATCAAACTGGGATGAGCCGCATTTTATTGTTCATGATAACACTGGTTTATTTTAAAAGCTGCTTTAAATATGAATTTTTTGGAAACTTGTGGGATGAAGCACAACGTTGATGCAGTTTAAAAAGGTTATATGGCAAATGTGTTCGCCAGCAGTTAGCTGCAGCTATTCACACGTGCTCGGACATAATGCAATGATTTGGAGTCATTTTTGTGGCACCCCGATGAATGCATGTGCAATATTTACTCTCCTTTTAGCTCTGGTTTTCCCTCCACCAACTCCCGAGGGACATATCTTTATCTGTACCAGCTTCCAGCCACTACATTTGTGATACAACAGAGATTTTTTTAACTGCTGCCTCTTGAAGCTGGAAATGAAGTTTACGAGAGAGGTGAAAGTAAAGCAAAGGTTGCAGGCCACAAAAAACCAAAGTGATGAACTAAGTATTGCTAAAATCTGCTATAGAGCTAAAGGGATTCTCAGAATCAGCTGATAACTCTTTGTCCTTGAATGACCTTCATCATACACCGAGTCTTTTGATCCATTGCTTCCACAAAAATGGTGAGAAATGCAGCTTTAATATGCTAACGTGATATTAAATGATATATATGATTATACTGAATTTCCCTTCTGGGATAAATAAAGTAATTTTCATTTCAAAGTTCCCATCTTCACCCCGTTGTAACAAGTTAATGTAAGTCTCACATGCCCCCAGATTGTGTATTTCAAGCTTCAGCTCAGAGTCCCACACAGATCCTTCATTCTGCCGCATCGATAATACTCCTGGTTTTAGGCCTGTTCCAGACACTGTCAGTATCTGCATCTCCTCTGTTCAGTGAGTGGCAGAGAGGAGCTCAGAGGAGGAGGAGGAACCAGATGGGGATGGTGCTGTGACATCGCAACAGGCTGCAAAACTGAATTCCTCCTGTAGAGACAGATTTTCTGACTTCTTTATGACAAAGAAAAAAAAGAAGGGCATGGTCTTTTGTGGTATTTTCTGAGTCTTGAGACACAAACCTATCTTCAAAAGCAATGAAGTTTTGCATAATATGGCGAGCAAGTAGCATTGTTGTTGGCTCTATGCATTAGTAGTGAGAAAGTGAGTGGCTTTGGTAATGCAGAAGTAGCTTTGTGAATACACAAAAAAAAATACAGACGCAGCAGAAGATGGTTACACCAATAAGCATTTTTTGGTACCTTAGGGACTGTAGAACAGATATTGTACCAGAGAGAGGACTGAATAATATGTTTTCTTAGTAAAAAAACAAAACAGCCCAGCATTTTTTCTAACATTGTCTTTAGAACCCGTCCCTGATGCTGAAAAAAAGCTGGAAACAAAGCACCCAAGATGGAGTGCCTTGATTTTTTCCAACGGTTCTCTGCACAGTGTTACATCGAGGAAGATGTCCCGGATCTTACTTTAGTGTTTCAGTAAACTTTACTGAAAACAGCAGTAAATTTCACTGTCAGCAATTATATGTGTATAAAGAATAAACACGGTATTTTCCTCTTTAAGGTGTACTTTTTATAACATAACAAAACAGAGTGAATTGTTCGTCCAAGATTCTGGCCTTCAATGTTCAGTGGGTGAATAAACAAAAATGGCATTATTGGTGTAACCATTTGATTTGATTTATTAATAAATCCCAGAGAGGAAAATTAAATAAGATATATAAACCTAAGTAAAAGCTAGAAGTCCCAGGAAACAACCACTGCTCACCAAAAACAAAACAAACATATTGTCAACAGAATTCTGCTTCAGACTCCCTATTTCATTGTATTAAGGTTTTCAAACAAGTTGCTTCATTGCCAAAGGGTCAAAACAGAAAAGTTGCAGAGAGACAGCAACACAGACGCAAACAACACAATGTGACCTGAAAAAAAAAACACATTGCGACGACAGAAGAACAAAGAGCACAACTTGTTCATCTTTGTCCCAATGCACCAAAAGAGCCTTACCCTGCCCCAACAGCCAGACTGAGCCACAACATGAGTCATCCCCAAAGCAAAACACTTTCATAACTGCACAGACACACACTGCCGGCAGTTTAATGTGAAGCAGGACGGAAAGTGACAGCTATCTTCCATTTGGTCAAGCTTGGAAGGACGTTTAACGCGAGAAGAGGTCGACGACCTCTTGACGCGAATCCCACATTTGTAAATCACTTGTTACACAGTTTGCACAGCACTCACACACACTCACACACACACACACATATACGTATATGTGCACTTGCTCTCAACCCTCAAGCCATTAGAGCTAGGAACTCTGTCACCAAGCATCTGTCCAAGCTCTCTTGCCAGTTAATATGGAGAGTGTGATATAAACAGGATATTTGAGCAGTTTCCCCTGGAGTTTTGGAATGGGGGGGTTTTAAATTAGAGTGAGAGATGAATTCTACACAGATCACTAGTCCCACATGTCTCCTCCCCTTACATGGCGGCGTCCTCCAGCTGCTGTAAGCTCATTCATTCCCCTAAAAGGATGCTGCATTTTTCCTCCTGGCTTTGGATATTAGTAGAGCCAAGCCTATTCAAAATAATCCTTCCAGGCTAAAAAAAAAAAAAAAAAAAAAGAGGGGAGGGGGGATGTTGAAAAATGAGAGTGGGGGGAAAAACTGGCAGAGATTTTTTGCAGGTCCTCCAGATGCAGCGTATTACCATCTGCCTATGGAATGTCAGTTATTTCCAGAGCGTCTTTAATAGCTTCCCTAATACGACACACTGCAGCTCCCCGGTCACAGGGAGTGATGTAGAGGCTTGGAGGAGGGCGGCGCTGCTCTGATCACCTGCCTGAAAACGACACCCGAGAGTCTGTGCAGAGAGGAGGAAAACTTTCACACTCCTCAGGTAGTCATTCGAGCAAACAGTTCTCAGGTCAAAGCTCCCGGTGGCCAGTTATAGAGTCATTATATCCTGTATGTATCGCTCCGTAAGAGGACTACGGGGGGGTTGCTCACATAAACAGACACCTCCAAGGTTGCTCAGCGTGAGCCACGAACTCTGGGTAATTTGACTCTTTGCAAAACTGCCGTGGCGACGCACCCGAGGTGATATTTATTGGTGTAGACTTTGATGTCCGATGGGAAAATACAGATAATGCTCTGAATCCTGCTGTTACCTTTAGGTGGGAAGTAGGATTTGCTCTCAGCTTTGTGGGGCCAGTCCACCACCAGGTGCCCGTAGCGACGAAAACTGTTGGTAATTTCATCTATAAATATAAAGCAAAGAGAAGAAAGAAAAAACAAAACAAAATGTCAAAGTGTTATTTTCACGACATTACAAAATTCAGTCATGTAATATGCATATGAAGGAATCTATGCAGAGCCACACTCCGCGCTGAGGAAGGCACGGTGTCTATTTTTTGCTGCAGCAGTGGCCACTGCATTAAACAGGAACACGGGCCGGGCACATTTAATCTGCAATGGGCTGACTTGTGCTGTGGAAACTCATGAATTTTTCAACCTGCTGAGGGCATGTATTGTGCATCAATTCAGTCGTACGTGACGCTTGTTCGAATGTGTAGACGCACAGGAAGTAAACATCCCATATGAACATTAAAATGCATCTTTGGCAAATTTTTTTAGTTTATTTTTAGCTTGTTAACATGGACATCTCTTGTTTTTTATATGCTTAAAGGCATATTGTGAGCAGCACATCCAGTCAGCGCCATGGCTCAGGATTTCCACTAAAACTGAACACAGACTCAGACTTCAAGTGCATCAAATCTAAGGAATCAATTTGTCATCTTGCAGGCTTTTCAAATCATTCTTCTTCTTCATAACTGATTCCCGATTTGAACAGGTACGGCTGAATTGCTCCAATATTACATCTTGACATTGTGTAGTAGTTTTATACTGTAGGTGAGCTGGTGTGCTTCAGCTGCAGTGAGTAAGGGGGGTAGGGACTTAATAGATCTTGCAGAGTAACATATAAGGCATTTTAAGGATGATCTTTATTGAGGAAAAATATCTAAATGTGTTATTTTGAAGCACAGAAATAGCTTTTCATGGGTTTTAATCAAAGACTGGAGAAGATCTTTAAACTCTTTGGTGCACAGATGCTAAAGTAAGGCAATGCAAGTGGCCAGAATATCGGCGTATCTGAAGTGGTTTCGTTTTTTTAAACTACTACGGTTCTTTGGCTCTGGTCTGATCACCAAATTACGTTTCATTGATGAACTGTATAGCAAAGCCAGTGTGGTATCCAACAGAACTTTACAATAGCTCAACTGTGGGTAACATTAGAGAAGGACTGTCCAGATGTCCTTGAAAGAAACACACTTATTTACTGTACTGCAGAGCTAGGTGATGAGATTTATACCTGTCTGTTTCATGTCTCTACAGTAGTTAGAAAACTACCACAATAACTGATTAGCTTAGCGAAACATGAAGACTGGAAACAGGAAAAAGCTGTTAGCCCGACTCTTTCCAAAAGTTGCTCATTCAAATGTTTGAAACCAACAGCTGGCAGTAGTTTCAAATTTCTGCACACATCTCAGAGCGGTATTAGTTTTTGATCTTTTATTAATCTCAGCAAGAAAGCACAAGTGACTTTCTTTATATGTCCCTTTAACTGTGACAAACTGCGTAAAGTAAATGTAAAAATCTCAAAATGTGCAGCCAATCCAGGCTTTTTCACAGGTATAACGTTTACAGAGTAGTGTGTAAATTTAATATCCTCAGAAAGGTGTGTCAAGGTGCCCTTAAGCGAGGCTCAAGTACGTCAGTGTAACCGTTAGTGGCGAACGGCCAAAAACACAGCCTGTACTGGGAGGCCTCCAACTGTGGAGCACTGTACAGCATGTATCAGTATGAATCTGCTGGGTGGTGCCGACAGAAAGAGCCTAAAGCTGAGCGAAACACATTTCTCCGCACGTGTCAAAGCAAAACAATCTTTCGTTTACCTTCATCTATGTCAGGGGGGAGGCCTCCGACGAAGACCTTCCTGGAGTAGCGCTCCATCCTCTCTCCGTTCTGACAGCGGGTCGGTGAGTTCAGGCCCGGAGTCAAGGAGGGGTCGCCGTGGCCGTCGTCGAGGAAGCCGTCTTCAAAGGGGAAGAGACAGGAACGACCTGGGAGGAGAGGAAGAGAAAAGGACACCAGGAATAGCAGGGGAAGACAGAGAGGTACGAGAGTGTGAAGCAAAAAAGGGAAGGAGGGTACGAAAGACAGAGTGAATTCAACACATATGGAAACTGTTATAGTAGCAACAGCAGTTTGGATATTGGAGATTACCATCATGAATGATTCTGACTACACCCCGTCTGCCAGCCTGTTTTTTTCCACCTCGTAGCACATCTATTCTGTCTCTTATGTGATGAAGACTTTATTTAAAATGTACAAGTGCAGATTTATATCTCAAGCTCTTGCAAATACATGACAAATCCATTAACAATTCCCTGTTCACAGTCTCATTTGGCCAATTGTAAATCTCTTATCTTTCTATACAAGTCCTTTTAAAGAACGCACACACATGACTAAAAAAAACAAACAAAATGTACGTGAACATAGGAATTTCTCTCACAGAGCCATGCAGGAAGAAGATCTTTCACGATGGCATGTGGGTGTAATGTCTGGCCGTCCACATACTTTGGCCATTGCGGATTTCACATCATAATCATGACATCATCGTGTTGACTCTGGAACTTGCTGGTGGCTGCCGCTCCTAATCATTATTACAGTGCCAGTCTTCCTGACCTTTAGACAGCATGCTGAACTGCAGCACATAATGAGAACGGAGGGACTGTTGATCAGCCAGCTATGAGCGCAGATTTCTCTCCCAGCTGCCAGCGAAAGAGCTACGGGAGGCTTCCACTTCTGCAGCTGAGCAATATTTTTTGTGTATTTTTGGACTGTGGTGCTACTTGTAATGTAATATGCATATTCTATTCGGTAGAATCACATTTTTCCCTCTTTCATTTCGACACAGAAAGAAATGCTGCAGTTTCTGTCTCCTATGTGTGTTCGTGTCAGCACCCGGGGAACACCTTTTGTTGAAAGCAATTTGATTCAGACATTATTCACTGCACCTCGTCGGCTTCACATACAACTGTAGCATACTATAATCCCCCCACCAAGCCCAGTGCTGCAGTGACCTTACAAATGTCACACAGCGGCTTTCCTCCTTGCTGAAGAAAGACAGAATTAGTTAACAAAAGCACATCAAATCAGAGATGAGCCATGTTGGAAGCACCCATCTTTGCCATCAAGATGATGAATCGCTTCTGAGTCAGCATCCTCTGTCAGGAAAACCTTCAAATCAATTTCAGAAGCACTTCAACCAAACCATGCTATAAGGTTTATTGTATGACTTGGTTGCAGCATCATGCTGCGGTTTAGACTCAGGAGCACGACGATATCCTTATTGGGCCAAATGTTGCGGATATTTGTTTTTTTTTTTTTTTAACAATATGATGCATTTGCAATACAACATTACAGGTAGACAACTGACTCAGAATAGAGAGAAAAGAAAATTGTCAGACGGATTTTTTTTCCTCTCACCATCAAGCAAAAACAAGATTCATTTGGACAGATTTGATGGACCCTTTGCCCCTTCCTGATTAAGTGCACAACATGGAAAACACTTTGTCTAAATTAATATGATTTCATTCAATCACAGCACAGATGAAAAGCAGATAGTGACACCACACTAAGACCCCCCTCAGCCTCGGAGAGAGACACGGCCGGCATGGCAAGCAGAACCCCAGAGAAAATGCCACACGTTACCTCTTCTGCGGCCATAGCTCCGGGCTGCTTGTCAGCACAGTGGGGGAGGGAGGGAGACACAAGGAGAGACAGAGGGTTGGGGCAGGAACAAGGATAGGAAAGAGATACAGAGACATGGGTTTTGTGGAAAAAAACCAAACCAGGAACATCTCTAAGGCAACAGTGAAACCACAGATGGCCACACCTAAGCTTCGGCAATGGGACGGTGATTATTACAGCCTGCACCAGCCCATGATAAACCTGCTGCACCTGCCTTGGCAACAGACGCATGCAGATGCTGCACGGCGGAGGGGAGGGGGGGGGCGCGACATGTGAGGTTTAGCCACGGAAATGGCTGAGATATTTAGCAGCATAATGCAACGCCCCATAACCGGAGATTGTAATCTCAGCTTAATGAACCTGCAATGGCTCCAGTTCCTGCTAATCTTCTGTGAATATTCACAAATGAGGCCATAAAGCAGAGTGCACGCAGGGCTGGAGGTACAGCAGGTTAGTCATTATCATGGCCTTGGTAAAATATTAAAAGTTGCTCTTTGGGCTCGTGTGGCAGGCCAGGTGCAAATGGAAACTTCCCACAGGATAAGGAGAGTGTGTGTGGACATGGCTGGCAGCCTTGGGCCTCTGAGGAGGGAGGATAACATGCAGAGAAGAGAGAGGGGCAGTGGAGGTCAGGCTATGGAGTCACGGACAAATTGATCGAAATCTATGGGAAGGCAAAAGGCCCGCACAGATCACCTGCATGCCCCAGCTGGTCACATTTACCAGTTCCAAATCTGTCTTATCTTTTTCATCACTCACGCTATAAAACAAAGATATTTGAAGACAATAGCTGCAGTGCACCGAACCGTAACCATTTCACAGGCTTCTCTTTGATATATAGCCATTAAAAAGGTCCATACTTATCACAGGTCATGCAGTGATAGTTAAGCTATCTCTACTCACTAAAGAATACTAGAAATGTGGTCAGGTTTTCATAGAGCTTTCAATAGCATCTCACAGGCTTTGTCCTTTATGCAAACACTTGCTATTAGCATGTTAAAATGTTCTTTTGTTTATTTAACCCAGAAAATGCTCACTAAGATTGATAATCTGTTTTACAGGAGCATCCCAGCAGCAGCACAAATTAATAGGTTACAGACATAAAGCAATTTAAACAAGGTATACATACAGATTAGGAGTACATTACAGTGTCATAAACTCATAAAAATATGTGTCACATGGGATGATGGTGAGTCAGTCGTAACGTGCACATCTGAATGCGTCTGCCTCCAAGTCATGTAAAGTCACCTTGTATTCATTGAGTGAAATTAGCTAAATAAGATTTGGACAATTTTGCAACTAATTTCAACAAAAGAGGGGCTGAGACACCTTTCCCCCCAGTTCAGAACAGACAGCATGAGTAAATCCTGGGAGTAAAGACAATAGCTTCTTGTACCTTTTGGTTGATAGACATCCATTAATATGAAGGAGGCAGACTGATAATAACTTGCAGTGAACATGCCATTGAGTCCACAAGTGGAAGTCCAACTTGTTTAACATGCAATGGGGGAGTAAGATGTTTAAGATTCGTAATAAACCCCAGTGTTTGGAGGCAGGCGTATGTTAGCACTGGGAGGAGGCATGCATGTATATGGCATCACCATAATCCAGCCCAAGCATGAAGGTAGTGCGACCAGCATCTTTTTAACCTCAAAAGATAGGCAAGACTTAGTTCTGAAAGGAAAACTTAATCTCCTTTTTATTTTTTATTCTTTTTAACCAGTTGCTGCATGTGAGGCATTAAAGCGTCATCAATTTTAATTCCTAAATGTTCAAACTATTTATTCTGCACCAAATTTCATCTCCTAACAAAGACTATGAAATGCATTGAAAAGCGCCGGAAAAAGCGACCAAACAGAGCACGGTTACATTTTTCTGCCATCCTACTGTTTCTGAGGTCAAAAACAAACTTTTACACTCAATGTAGCTCATGTTTTTTTTTTTTTTTTAAATGCAAAACAACAAATCTTGTTTCGGTATTGTGTTGAGTGTTTCACTAATCCCTGAAAAGTTCCCAAAAACATTTGAATCTTGCTGTGCTGCGAATTGAAAGCACAAAGGAGGCAAAATGTGGTTTAAGACAGTGCAAATGCCAACAAACAGCAGGAGGGGTAACTCAGCACTAAACAGACCCTCCTGCTACTCTGAACTCATCAGTCACAAAGCAGAGTCGTCGCCTCAAAAACCAATATGGGCCTTTGCATTGTGAGGGCCCTATTATGTGACTTGCCCGTCTGGCTTCTCTCAGGGAATATATTGTCTCTGAGCCTCTTCTGCCTTGCTATGTTTTCATTAAATAAAGATCTGGCTCTCCAATCCAAAAAACCTGGGCAGTCTCTCTGTAGCTTTGCCCTCTCACCGTCTGGCCTTGGCAGAAACAAAGTCACCTAGCAACCAGGGCCAAATGAAGAAAACGTTGCGCTGGGAAACCATCAGATGCCTCAGTAAGAGAGAATACAGCCCAAGGGAGAGGAGGAAGCAAAAAAGTGAGGGGTTAAGAATAAGTACAAACTTCAAACTGCGCGGTGACTGCAAGAGAGAGAAAATGTTTTAAAGGAAACTGGGTGATTCCTCTGGGCACGATGAGTTTGATGTCTCCTGCTCTGTTGTCTTCAAAGCCTCAGACACTTCTGCTAAACTGTCAAGTGAACAACACCAATAAATCTGGAAAGAGGACCTATGCTTACTGCTCTTCAGCCTTTCTTCTTCACTTCAAGTGCTAGCATCATTCGCAGAAAGTGGAGCTCTTAACAGGTTTTCACAGCAGGATGCCTCAAAGCTAATGGGACAAAATGAAGGAGAAACACTGAGTGAAACTCTTTAAAGTTGAAACCAAAGCTTTCCTGTCTACACACATCACAGGCTACAGCGCAGAGAGCCAGCTCTGACAGACTTGGAAGATCTGGACAGATCTGTGCTTGCCTGAGCGTAATCCCATGACACAACAGTTTAACATCAATCCGAGACACGTTCTCCGAGGATACAGATGATGAAAAGAACAAAATGGGGAAGAAGCACCAGTGTTGTCAAGACGTGACAGCAGAAACTGCTTCACCAAGAAAGTTTTTTTTAATGCGCAACATCCTTGCCTTTACCAATTTCTATACCCTGTAGGCTCACTGAACATGTCCAGAGAGGAAACTGGGGATTTGCTGATTTGGTTTGATCACCAGTCGGTTAAGACATCTTTGATGCTTTGCTGAGTTTTGGAGCAAAGATGAGAAACACAATTGTTTCTAAAAGAACCGGAGGACATGGCCCAAAAACGAATGCGTAAGATCCGAGAAAATCATGTCTCTAATCCCATCCAAAGGCAAATAAAGACCTCGCAGAAGGGCAAGGCCTGGCCTGGAACATTTTGTGGCATCAATGCAGCAGCATATGGCATAAAGACCTGATTTCCCTCTCTAGCTTGTCTCTTGTCACTGTTGGTCATCTACCGGCTGGTGGGACACTCAGGGGGAATAGTCTTACATGTTGGGGTATTTTTGGAGATGCTATTCACAGGCCAACTGTGCTTCCCGCAGGAGGTCTGTCCTGGGTTTACGGTGTCAGGGAATCCAGACCTTAGCACAGGGTAGGTAGTCGGGCCCAGCCCATACTAACATGGGCCCCTGTGGTGAGGCAACATGTTTATCATAGGGGACGCACGACAAAACGCTCCCCATTCGTCATCGTTTTTAAAACATAGAAGGTAGAAAGTGCAATAACACTTATTTGTAAAACTCAAGCAATCATGATTAATTCCTACAATGAAAATGTGACTTACTGTTCAACGGCATTATGTGGTCTGCTCCAGGATGATGAAAATTCAGGCCCATACGTCCTGTCAAAGAAAAAAAAAAAGACAAAAAAAAATTTTACAAAGGCGGGAAAACATGGAAATCGCTGATAAAAGTCAGCCTGTCGACAGACATTCATTTTAATCTTCCATTCTAATGTGTGCAAAGGGAAAATGCCAACCACGATGAACATGAAATGAATAAACAACAAATTTACTCAACGTGATACGAGGACAAACACAGACGACAGATGTGAAAAACGAGGTGGAAACACATTTCTTTGTTGTCACATATCTCATACGCACATACGCTCACACAAACAAAAGCAGCTACGAGGCTAGCCATTCAACAGAGCGGCTACGGTGACAATGTGCGCATGCTATAAGGGCCCATCTGCTGGCGTTTTCATGAAAAGAAGGCGGTGTAGGATGTCTAAACAGAAGATTTCCTGATTATCTCGGTTTCCATCATCCTACTTGTATAGAAACAACAAGAAGATAAGCTGATGCAGAAATACCCCACCTGGTTTAGGACAAATTATTGCTGCCTCAACGTCAACATCATTCACAGCGGCAGCCGCAGAGGCACGCCTTGTATGCCTAACTACTTAAAGTTAAGGCCCTCTGTCAAAATCCACCATCATCAGCTTTAGACTCAACACACAGCACGCAAGCAGCCCAGAGTCATTTAGGAAAGACAGAAGATGAAGCAACATTTTCACTCAGGTACATCTCACACATCGATATCTGGAAAACGCTCTTTATGAGTGTTCCTATCCACCCATGCAGAGTGTCGCTTCAGCGTTAACACTGGGGTGGTGTTGGGTTTAAAAGCTGACCGGGGCAACTGTAACAGGGTATCTTGCTTTACTGCTGCCGTACGTTTCCCCATATGTAATGTGGACTTTGAGAGACAGACAGGCTTTATGTTGCAAGCTGCTGTGGTGCAAACAAGACGGCACGTCAAAAGTTTCAAAATCTGGCCACAGAAGACAGATAGCAGGGACGGCGAGCGGGCCCCTTCCTGGCTCGCTAATAAGAGTGGAACTAGCAGTTAGACCTGGTTGAAAACCAGAGAGGCAGTGCAGGGGGAAGACAAGAGGGGCGGCCACCCTGCAGCTCCACAGATGTGGATTTCCACACTGCTCTCAGGCAGAATCCGGGCAACATTAGGGCTTAGGGGCAAACGGAGTGCAACTAGAAAGGGCTGCGCACACACATTTGCGTGTACATGTGACGTATAGATATGTGAGCCGGTGTAACATTCTTGACGCCGTTTCCAACTGATTGTCATGATGAAATAAATGCATTGTTGGCAAAGACTAAAACATCCAGCGCCGTGTTTTGACACTGAGGAGTGTTCTCAGTTCTCATATCTTCCACTGCTTTCTCTATCTCACCACTCTTACATCTGATAGTCAAGCAAGGCTGTGATCCAAGTTCAACAACCCCAAGGGATAGCCTCACAGTCGTGTATTGGTGAATGTGTGGGTGGTCTGTTTGCTAGTTCTCCAACCAACTTACAGGGTTTAAACCCAAATGTCTGACTGGCTAAAGTGTCCTTGACAGAGACTCGGCTTCAGAGCGGGTTCGTGCACTTTAACCCACCGCCGCCGCATTCGGCTGAGCAAAAAAAAAAGCAGATCAATAAACCACATTACCAAAGACAAGAGCACTGCATCGAACACAGTCGCAACCAAACCTGTGACTTTGCTGGTTGGAGGGCAAAACGTTGCAACAAAGACAAAGTTCTGTGCTCGCCTTTCTGTCTACATTAGTCTTTTTGGGTGACACGGGGGGGGGACAGTTGCCCCCCTGAAGCCTTAAAATAACTCTGGGCATGTGCCATCTGCTTCCCCCAGGAGCTGAGTGGCAGGGCCTGAGGGGCCCCTGAGTTGCTGCTGCTGCTGCTGCCACTGCTGTTCTGGTGACATTTCCTCACAGGGAGCATGAACTATTCTCAACCTCTCCCCTGATGGTCGCGCAGCAATGTGGCTGCTCAGGAAGAGACACGCCATCCACCTCCTCAGGCACAGATCCAACGGCAACTCCCCTCACACGCCTGACCCTGGACTATGACCTCACCGTGAGCGCTTTGGTAGAAATAGGTAAAGAGAAGAGGGCGGATCAGCTTGATAAAGCCAGCGAACATCAGTTTTAGGTCTGATGTTTTAATGTGGGTGCTCCGAAGAGGTCACTGTGGCACAAGGCCTCTAAGATGTTAGATCGGTCAAAAAACAGCCGCTGTATAACATCTGACATAGACAGTAACATCTTTTGATCAGCTTCTATAAATAACGGTGAAGGTGTAGGCGAAACTGATTTCTCTTTGCTTTTTTTGGCGTGAGGACAACCTGCCTCAAAGCACCACGCTCACCGCAAGAGCACCGTTTATTAAAGGCAGTGAGGTGAGCATAGACATCATGGTGAAGACGCATCAACAACGCTGTCTGTCAGCACAGAAACTACAAAAAAAGCCGTTCTGCAAGTTCCTAAGCACTTATATTTTCACTTGTGGCTAATAACCACCAACACTGACCCACGCACCTCGAGCTCCTCCCAACTGCTTTGGTCATGTTTTACTCCCTCTGGCACATATTTAAGCCCCTGGTAACACCTCTGGGAGAAAAGCCCAGCAGCAGATATGAGAGGGGAATGGGTGCGCCAACAGCAAGGTGTGGAAATGTTAGCCCTGATGAAAAAAAAAACACCTCAGCAGCAGGGTGCCCCAAAGCTGCAGTTCTTGCTGACAACTGCCAAAGAAATCTTCAATTACCACCACTACACTAGCAAAAAAGAAGTGAAAAAAAAAAAAAGACAATACCCACTGGGGGGTATGAGGTCTGCACACAGCCAACACATGACTGGAAAGATTTAGAGGGACGGATGTTTCTGTGAGAACACCTAGTGAGTTATTTTATGTGTCTCTGATAGTCAGGATGTCCTACTTCTTCCACTTCACAGCAGCTTTACCCGAAAACTCTCAACAAGACGATAACAATGGAGCAAAAGTTCCTTTAACTATTAAGCCATCGCGTATATAACTGTATAAAATGATATTACGCACTAAAACAAATGGTTCTGGCACATTTCTGTCAAACTGCTTCTCACTGTCGTTTAATGTTTCACACAATTATAAAACCATGAAGCGCCTGTCAAATAATATAGAGCGTTTTTAGCATCCCGTTAACCACGACACCACTTGGCAGTGACAGTGATTCTTTAAACAACATTTCATAGTTTGCGAGATCTGGACAAACCGTAACTTTCATAGAAAAAAAAACAAGCCCGGACTTGTTTTGCTCCCTGGACTGGATTAACTCGGTCATGCTTGCAGGAGTCATGAATTTTCCACCATAACAAAACACGGCCATCTGACTGTGCGGTTTACTGGAGGTGGGTGCGATGTAACCTTTAACACAGCCAATAAACACATCATCTTATCTCTATAAAGTCATTACTGGCTGTTTAAAGTACAGGGACATCCCTCTGCATCTGAAAGCACCTCATGGGTTGTTAACTGGAGGGGTTGAAAAGTTTAAGAGGTCAAACGTTTGCCCAACCAAGTATTGGCCTTTAAACGAAGGTTGAGCTGATGCTACCCCTCCCTGTAGCTGAATCAAAAAAAAAGTCCACATACATGAGCCTGTTTCAAACAAATGTGACATTAACTAAAGCCTCTGTCGTTGAAGCTTTACCCCAAACCTCCCTGAAGTCCTTCATAGCACAACTTCACCTTAAGCAGTGACAGAAAGCGAGGCATCGGCGCTCTGTCGTTGCAAAGGTTTCAGGAAAAGTTGACACCCACTTTTTCCTATTATTGAAGCACGCTGCAGAATGAAACCGTTACTCATCTGACCTGCGCTGTGCTTGAAATTCATGTTTTCCATTGACCAGTGCTGTTGTCAACAAGTGCACAGAGTCCTCCTCCCTCGACTGCTTTAGTCAGTCGTAGCTTATTATACAACAACATAGCACCAATTAATCAATTAACATAAGATAGAGTTAAATAATTAGCAGATCTTTAAAAATGGTCACTTTACAGAACAAAATAGGAGACAATTTAATCAACTGGCGATTTTTTAAGCATAGTTTTCCTACACTGTGACTTTTTGGGAAGTACGCTTTCTTGCTTTCTTGACAAGAGTGTATATTCTAAATATAAGGCCACAGCCTAGAGACAGTTAGCTTATTTAGCACCAGCACCTGGCCAAGAAACAGCACCCCGCACAAAACCACATCTAACTGTTTTTCCCTGCTTCTAGTTTTTCTGCTCAACAAAGCTAATCAGCAGCTGGCTGTTGCTTCACATTCACTGTCCATCAGTTTCTACATTCCTCTTGGCAAGAAAGCCAATAAGCACAATTACCAAAGTGCTGAACTATTCCTTTTAATTAATTAATGGAAAAAAGTAGCCCATTAAGAAAATAAACACAGCTTACAGCTCAACTCTGGGGCTTTAAAAAAAAAAAAAACAAGTCTTCTAAAAGCTGCACTCTCACACACACACAGACACAATGCAAATCGTAGCTGACGCATGAGTAAGATCATGTGAGTCAGACCAGCTGAGGCAATCTACATGTGTGTGTGCTCTCAGGGAGACGCTGTGGGTGGGGTGGGATCCACACACACAGCTTCCACCAGGACTAAAGGGACTTATTAACACTTCTCAGTGTCTCAAGTGGTTAGTGACAACATCTAGACATTGTGTGTTTGTGTGTGTGTGTGTGTGTGGGGAGTGGCCGCGTGCTGCAGACACGCTATCTGTTGAGTCGTCTTGTCCGTAGATGACGACGAGTGGCAGTCTGAGAGGAGAGTGTCTGAGGTGAGAGCGCTTTGCATGGAATGTCAGAGCTGATTTGCATGTCAGCAACAATTTGGATGTGTGTATCCTGTGTGTGTGTGTGTGTGTGAGACGCTAGCCGGGGCAGCTGCTGTCAAACCGGTGGGGTTTTTCCAGGCCAAAGGGAGAATCTTTGGTGTGTGTTTTTGAGCTCAGCTGACCCCGAACAGACACTCCATCCAGACGAGCGCCACTGCTGCAGAAAGGTGGCCGATTGTTCAGAAGTCCCCGCGGCCCTGCTCCCCTCAACCACGAGTAACGAGTTCTGATGAAGTTTGAAAGATTGTTGGAATAAAGTGTCTCCCTCACAGACAACACACGCTCTCTTTGAAGTTGACTCTTCTCCAAACAAGCGCTCCGAACAAAAAAAAAAAAATTGGCTGATTCGAGATGGCCTCGCCCTCTTCCCCGTCTTAACAGAGAGAGGAGGGTGTGGGTCACCTCGTACTCTCTTTAGAAGACCCACCGATTCTTATTCGAGTCACAGTACAAGTGTTTTTCTTCTTTAAAAACACACACACACACAGACAGGGACTCATAAAACAGTCGAGGAAAAACAACTATTCCAGGCACAATGAGAAGTATGCGAGAAATGTCTGTGATGGGATAGATGTGGGCGGGACCCATTCAGTTGGGAATGTAAAACTGGGCCTACTGGGTTAATCAGTTTTGACTGGTGGTTCTCAGCTGGTGAGCAGAATCCCTGAAGTGAGATGCCACACTAACTTCACCAGCAACGGAAAGACAAAGACGAGTTGAGATTTACTGAGGAAGTCTGTAAATTAGCATCCAGTGAGATAAGAGACTGCTTATGGATAAAATCTGCAACGCTATCGTGGATATTTTCTTCAGTTTTAATAATCCTCTCGCTTTGCTCACCAGAAAGCTTGATCAGGTTCAACGGGTTGCACCTGTCCAGTCGACAATGCCAAACTAAGTCGAAAGCAACCTTGAACCGCGGCGCTGATCCTCTGTGTGACGGTGCATCGGCCTCCTCATACCAAAAACCTGCACCCAGCCTGGTTCTTGACCTTTTACTCACCACCGGCTTCTGACAAGTCCGGTGTTGTGCTCGCTGACAGCCATTTACCCGAAACTGGAGACTCTATTGACTAATCAGAGCTCACCAAGCGTGTTTAACACCGTCTTCGTCATTCGAGAAATATTATGTGTCAGAATAATCGGATGACATCAGTGCAGTCAGGTCCTGCAAGTCAGGTTAAAAAAATGCTTATTGTATTTTTACATAAAGAAATAATAAAGACAGCAAATGCCACCACAGCTCAGTGTCAAATGAAAATGGCGTTGCCGGGATGGATAGGTGGCTCACAACTGACTGGTTACGGCCGAACAAAACAAAACGCAATCTCCTTCCTAACAGGAAGCCACAGCACAATATCAGGCTGTTGAATGGAGTGAAACAAACGCCAATTCAGTTGGCATGTCAGGCAAACACGAACCTGACCCTGCCTGACAATCCAGCTGGTACTGCCAAATTCGAGAGCCAAAGTTAGATTTTTGCCACATTTTCTCATGAGCTTTCCCCGTTCCCTCTGGGCTTTACACTTCTGCTCGCAACAAATGGCACACAAGGATGCAGACAAATGGCACAGAGAGGGAAACAGAGAAATTTCCTAATTAATTACTTTAGTAAACGCCAAAACTCAAAGCTTTGGGCGAAGAAATGGCTGTCGTAATTAGTCACAAATATCTCCTCTATGTACAGTGTTTGTATACAGTTCAGTACTGTAGCAGCATGTCGATGTACTGCAGAGTACGAGGTTCTAAAAGTTCTAAAATACGTCCTGAGCTAAAAAAAAAAAAGCACCATCGGCCACAGTTTTTGCACTGGATTACCCAGCAGACAGGGCCGGCCGAGGCACAGGGCCCTCTTCAGACAGTGAGTAGGTATGTTTGCAGGGTGGAGCTGCTCTGTGATCGGCACGGTAGCTTACTGCAGCCCCACGCTGTCTACATGATGATACGAGGGGTAAACAACAGATCCAGAAATGCGCACCAATGGTCATGCACCGCCCTCCCTGACTTTTCTCCTACCTCCCCGAGCACTTTGACAAACAATCGTGACGGAAGCTCTGCAGGACGTTACGGCACCTTCCCAGTGAACTTAAGCCCGGGCCGCGATGATCGCTCAGCTGTAACAATGCACGCTCAGATTGGGAAAACAGACTTGATGCATGGGAAAACGACATGCTCTACTCATTATATACCCCTCCCACCAATCTTTCCATTGTTAAGATGGGAGGACGGGGGAGCATAAAAACCCTACACCCAACCTTCGAGGGCCCCATCTGGGAGACAGCAGTTTTTTTTAATAGCCACGTGACTGGTGCTACAACAATATTGACATAGAACGCCTGACATACATTGGATAGCCTTAAAAGGGAAAATAACTTTGTTTTCTCCATAGTTTCCAAGTGATAAAGCTGCATGACATTTATTTATTTTCGCCTGAATCAGCATTCCACTGTTTAAAAAAAAAAATCCATGTGAGTATCAAAGTTGCCTGGAAACACTGATTTCATGTTGAGGCTGTGACTCAGTCGTGGCATGTCTACACTTGTAATTACACACAAAATTAAAGTTTAAATGTGATTTTTGTGGCAGCCGTATAATTGAGGATAAATGTAAACCACAGAAACACTCAACGTTTATATTCAGTTAACAACAATAGTGCAAGTCAGGGACACGATCGCTTGATCCACTGGTTCTGATCAGCAAAGCCGAAACAGGCAACTAAGAGGAAAGTGCAAAGGAAAATGCAGTTTGCAAATAAGACCACGTGAGTGCACATTGCTGCGGTCCACTGCACACACACACACACAAACACACACACGAACACACACAAACAAAAATTATGTGAGATTTTGCAGGTAAGGTTTATAATGTTAATTATTCATTTCAAATTCAAACATAACATGATGATCCGTACTCGATTGGTTAAGAAGATTGGCAAATATAGCAAATGAAAAAACAAATGTACCCAGAAATGATATATGCCCATGAAGCAAAACAAAACAACCTAAATACTGTAAGCATGGACGTATGAATATTCCTAACCTGCAAAATGATTCCTCCATATAATATCAGCGATAGTCATTGGTGGGCCACCGGCAGGGTGTGGTTTACCTTTGTCATGGTCAGTCCTTATCATATCCATTAAGGAATTCTCCAAAGAGTGCAAGCTAAAAGCATCAAAGGGCCGATTCCGGTCCTGCAACACAACAAAACAGGAAGAGGGTTGGGATTAGAGTCACAACGAACACAAGGAAGGACATACTTTAATGCTGCTATGGCTGCTACTCTTGTAGCTGTCAAGTAGATAATACATATAAAATAACTTTGAGGTTGTGTGAGTATTGTACGTGAATGTTAAATATTTCAAAATAAGTGTTGATCCTAAAGAAAGACAATAAGTGACTGTAATTTCAGCCTCACCAACTCAGTGGAAACAGCTATGAAAGACCTTGCATAAACAAAAAATAAAGATCTGCTTCACCATTTTCCCAAACTTGAACTTGCACATTTAGCCTCGCTGTTGAAATTCTGGTTGGTTACCTCGCTCAAGGGCAGATCACTAGTAACAGCCTGCATGTACCGACAGCTCCCATTTTCATTAAGAAGACAAGACAGACAGGGATGTACTCTTAGCTAACTGGTCCAATACTAGCAAACTGGATTTTATAGGCTTAAAAAAAAAAAAAAAAAAAATAGAAGCTACGTGTCTGCCCTGGGGATGATGGTGAACATAGATGATATTGAAGGAGATATGAATCTTAAGCCTTTTCATGTCAAAAAAAAAAGAGGCTACAGTGAAAGAAGAGACAAGATTGAGCCCAGAGGAATCCATGTGGACTTATATCATTTAGAGAGGAATTTTCTTAACCGTCAACTCTGTCGGTGGAGAGATGTCAGAGGTAAAACAAATCTGTGATCTATGAGTCACTTGTCGGGCTATCTTGTAATCGATGAAGCGTTTCTCATTTCACTGCCGACGCTCTGGAGGCTTCGGTTTTCTATCCAGGGTGTATAAAATAAAAGTGTCACCATCGTACAGTTGAGGTCCTGTCACAGCTATTTAATATTTTCATTATCAATTTATTTATGTTACAGATTGAGTCATTTTGTAATTTAAAACACAGACTTCAACTTCCGATCTCTAAAGATGTTCAACTTCCACTGATACACAACAGAGAAAAGCAGCAAATATTCACATTGGAGACGCTACAATCATTCTTTTTTAACTTGTCTATAATAATCAGTCAACACCACGGCTGAGCATTTAAATCTTAAAACTGCAGAATGATGACGACAACCTCCAAAACAAGAATTTGACTTCCAGGGTTTCATACGTAACCGAGGAATCCGTCCAGTCAACTCGCATGATGGGGTTTATGTATTATTAATCTTGAGACTCCAATGATCAAATAAATATTCAATCAGTCAGCAGTTAATTTTATGATGAGCAATCAGAACTGTTCAGCTGTAGGGCTAGGGTTAGATAAAAAGGATGATTAAAGAACATTATGTAAAGATGCTACGAAAGCTGCTGTTTTGTTTTTTTTGTCACGTCAGTCTGACAGGAACTCAGCTCCACCTGGTTTCGAAACTGTCCTCAAGAGTTAAAGTTAGGTCCTGCGGCTGTCGTACTGAGAATTTTCGTTTGAGTTTCATTTGCTTGGCTGCTTAAAAAAAACTTTCTGATCTTGCAAGGCAGGCTGGTCCACTTGAGTCCAGAACAGTACGGTTAATTCTACATCAAACACCCTAAAGTTAAACCGCTCGCTGCTGATGAAATGTTTAGATTCCCACTGTGTGTGTGAATGAATTTCTGAGAGTGACATGTGTGCCAAAGGTAAAGCCTGAGAGCGCGCCTAACCAGAGCTGGAGGCTGCAGCCTTGGCAGCTGTGTCCTGTGTCCGCTGTCCGAGCTGGGGCCGCATTGTTTGCACACTACAGCTATTGTTGCCCATTCGGCTGAGCATTCAAAAGTGTTATTCCCCCCACTCTGGACCCGACAGCGCCACACAGATAAAAATCTGCCCACTTGGTACAAACGGTAAACACTTAAAACGCTGAGCTTTGAGTTTCCTCTCCCTCCCCTCCTCTCTGACACATGTGGATGAACACCATGATGGGCAGAAGTCACAGAACTCGCTGTAGTCAAATGACCTGAAGAGATAGTACGAACTAAAATCCCCACACAGACTCCTCTTTAACACATCGCGTAAGTTTCCAGAGCGTGGAATGCAGGTTTGAGATGATCCATCTCGACCACACTGCATCTCATCTTTCCCTGTGACCCAGATATAAGAGTATTTATGAGGGAGATCAAGATAAGAAACAGATTAAGCATTCAAGATACGGCCGAATACCTGCTTTTAATAAATGCTGTCTGCTCAGTAAGGTGAAGGGCTGCCAGCTTCAGAAGCAGATGGGACATTTATCACTGACTGTATTTTCCTCAAAAATGTAAAAAGGTTTTACATGTTAGACTGTAGTGTGACCTTCAGAGTGCCGTCTCTACTGCAAGATAAATCAATGGGAACAAACCTATAGATAAATGATATAGTCAAAGTCACTGTAGGGATCCAGGCTCATACTGCACACGTATTACAGCTTCAAATTAAACAAGCTTAGCCTCTCTAATATATATATGTAGGCATGAACAGATCCACAAGACGCCTTCTAAAATGTACAACTATACAACCAAAGAACGCTGTAAATATTGTCTTCATTATTTTTTAAATAAACAATTGTGTAGTCTATAAAATACACAAAAAAGTAGTTAACATTGGCTATAACAATTTCCCAGAGTTCCCGCAGTGATTAAGGCACCAAATATATTCAATTTGCAGTTATATAAAATATATCGACTTCTAGCTTTTGACAAGCTGCAAAAAGCAAATGTTTGGCATTTTTGCTCAATAAATAAAAAAATTATCAGTTGTTGAAATTGGTGGTGACTTTGCAGTCAATAGACCAATCACTTCAACACTAAGGATCTAGGAACGAGGTCTGCAACTGACAATTATTTTCGATGTTGATTACTGTGTTGATTATTTTCCCAATTTATCCGTTTAGTTTTTAGTAATTAAAATAGCTGGGGGTGAATTCAATCATTGCCAGCTGATTGATTACTAGTTACAGCTCTAATGTGAACATTCCCAAACAGCCTAAACTCTAAATCTGGGTTGTCTGAAAGTTACACTGTGACAAATGCACTTGCAAAATGAAACGACAGGTTTCAGTTGAAAATAAAGCAAAAGCCACACCATACTGGGTTTCTAATGTAAATCACATTGGTTCCGCCCCTAAGCTTGTCGAAACTCCTGCCGTTTTGCATGACTGTCAGACAGCATTTGACTGCGGGAGTCGACCTGTCAGTCTGCCTTCTAACATCCCTCCTGAACTGATATGATGTGATTACAATCACAGAGGACCACACAATAATTGCTACTACCGTCATTTTAAATCAGGGCATCTCCCGAGAAGCTCATGTGACTTTATGTCTTGAGCCTCACACTGACATGTTAAGTTGAATTCCGCACATTCCTCATCTTTTAAGCGGCAGCCAGCAGCAGGCGAGTATGAGCACATATCAGAGCGCACGTGACTCAACGTTTCAGCCTGTGGTTCATCTGGGGCATGCGAAGAATACCGAGGAGGGAGATCTAAACTATGACAACGAGTACACCTGTCACCAGCTGTCTGCATGACGGTGCAGGACCGGTGTGTGCACCTCGCCTGCTGCTCGGCTCAGCGATTTGCCTGAGTTTCACCTCAGTAAACAGGCCAGTTGACATGTGGCACCCTGACCTTGCATCCTGGTGATAACTCTTCTCCAATTATGGGTGTAATTGTTAAGCAACTCAGTGCGAGCTACAGCTGAGAACCAATCACATCACAGAGGCATCCAGGAGCCCCTTGAAAAACAGCCTGTCTGTCTATTAGATATCATTCAGTGGTTTCAAACCTTATAAAGAGCTGTGAAGAATGACTTCTTTTGTACATGTATGTCTGATTTTAAAGGGAAACTTCACTAATTTTACACTGGAAGGGGAGAAGTCTATGTTGAAATATCACTACAGCATTAAAAGGAAGTGAAATAGGAGTCGTAGCTGTGAATGTTTTCTTTTTTGTTTCATAAAAGAAACCTCCAAGACATTGTTGATATTATGAAAACCAGGTAATTCAAATAATAATATATAAATATGCAATTTAAAAAGGATATTGGCATCAGGGCTGCTGCTAACCAGCACCTTAATTTCCAATTTATCAGGAAAACATTTCATCAATGAGCCAAGTAATGGCTTTGGCTATAAAATGTCAGAAAAAGGAGGTAGTCATTGAAATTGCTTGTCTTGTCCAATGAGCACGATGACATTCAATTTACAATATTAGGAAATGGAGAAAAGAAAAACCGAGAATAATTAAAGTTGAGAAGCTGCTCCGAGGATAAGGCTGTCAGAATAACTGCAGACTCATATTGTCGATTGACAACGGCACGTGTCATTTGAATTGTAAAGTGTCATCTGGCAACACTTGACCACATGAGAGCAGATGAGTGTTGTACTTCATCTGTGCTATTTGCCTGAGTTTCACTTCAGTAAACAGACCACTCCATACAGCATGACATGTGGCCCCATGACCTTGTCTCCTGGTGATAACTCCAGCTGTAATCCAGCCAAGTCAAGAGAACAGAGATAGAGGCTCACGGCAGAGGAAACTGAGTAATAAAGCCTGGAGAGGTCTGACTGACACACACAATCATTATCTCCTCAAAAGGCTATACGTTTCAAGTCGGCTGGAATTTCACCCCGAGTCGAGCTGCGTTTCGTCTGCACACGTAGTCCTCGCTGCAGTAATAGGTTAACATGTTGGCTTGCACTTCGTTCTCTGTCTTTGATCGGGTGAACAAGCGCTCCTTTTTAAGTAAGCCACTGACATAAGGGGGAGAGTATCTGGCTGGCTTATTTTTTTTTTATTTTTTATGTTGGCTTGTTTGTCAGGCAAACATGTGACCAGGCATGTGGGGGGGAAGGCACAGTATTGGGACTGTTCATGGGCAAGTCTACTCTTTAATCAGACATGCTAACGAAGGCAGGATGAGAGCTTAAAATACATCCAGTATAAAACCAACGCTCTGGATTCCAGACATGAAATCTTAATTATGGATCAAAACAGAGATAACCAGAGTATTCTTCTGTCAGTGAGGAGCATTTGGTCATAAAACCAAGTGGCCAATTAATTTTGTTTTTGTCCAGCTGAAAGTGTCACAGCTTATTCTGTATTCAAATAACAAACAGGACAGTCTTGCCCTCATCCCTGTCAGCTTTTGTTAGGTCATTGTGATTAATGCCGGTGATACGAATCTGAAACTTGCCTAGTTTTCTGTACATGGACTACTGAAAAGGTACACAATAAACCTTTTTTACAACTAGGGTGTAACTTTAACGCCAATTTCTTTACTAGCTTAGCTGTCGTTTTTCATGCCTTGCTAGCATGTTTCAACTCTGTGTAAAGTCATGGCATGACAAAAACAGACATATGTCAATGTCAGCACTTGTATTTAACTTATGCTTGAAAGTATTTGAAACACGAGCTTAACTTTTCCCTTTCTTTCTGCAAATTGCAAACACAAACAAACAAACTGTTGTTGTTCCTTCAGGGTTGAACCTGCGCTCCGTGTTCGTATCCGCTCTAATTCCCGCCCACTGTCCGTCACCGGCCAATCAAATCAGCGTATGCATGTTGCTTTCACTGACTCTCGAAAATGTTAAAATTATGAGCAGACCGCATATGAACTATGAACAGTGTTAAAAATAGCAACAGAAAAACAGACAGGTTTACAAGCGTCGTGGTCGGCATTACTTGTCATGTATTATACACTGATTTACGCAGAACCTTTCACTTAACAGAACACATGAATTAAAAAGCCTGATGGATGATTCCTCTAAATTATTTTGTGAAAGATTAATCGTACAGCTTCCTCTATTTAACAACTGACTGTTGAATATTTTATAAAACACATCACTGAAACAGAAGTTGTAATCAAGTGCAAGCACATAACTCCCATTACAGGTCTTGTCAGTGTGAATTTAGAAGGTTACGAGGGGCACCTGAATGCATCGTGTGTCCTTTAAACCTCACGGAGCGTGAGCTGGCAGAGGAAATCTCTCCATTTGGTCCAATAAATCGCGCACAGCGACTATTTCTAAGCCCGACTCGACGTGTTTGCCTTTGAATGTGTAAAAATAGCAGTGATCGATGATTAATACTTCAAGGACCCGCTGTCTTATTCGATTTATTTGACCTCCGCTGCACAACCTCCCAGCGTACAAGCCTATTAAAATGTTGACAGCCGGCAAAACGCGACTGTCATTCGTTAAGTCCAGTAAACCACACAAGTAACAGCTTCGACAATTTTATTCTGAACTGTCTTTATAAAATCAGTGTAATCCTCGTGAGATCGCGTCCTAGTGACGGGACTGTGTGGAAAAAACACTTGGCCTCACCTATTGACAACGTATGGTTCGTGCGTAAAATGATTTTAACTGCAATTTTGCACAAGTGACTATGGCAGAGATCATTAATTATATTACATGGAAGTATAATGGGTTTGTGGAGCTGATGAGTTCAGGGTGACCTTTTCTTTGGCTGTAGCCTGCTCTGTCGGATTTCTTTCTCAGGCAATGGTGGCTTATTTTTATGCGTAAAAACAGCCTTACGCGTCTTAAATATGAGAAATGGACAAGTGACAGCATGTGAAGATGCCACTTTTAAACATAAGGTGAAGCATTAAAGCTACAGGCCTGCTGTGGGCCTGCTTTTACACCGGGAAAGTGTTTACCTGGAAAGGCAGTATGTTGTTGCTGTTGTCAGTCCTGAATGCGCTGTCCTCCATCCAGGGCTTGGGTGTGAGGGGACCGGGTCTCGGGAATTTGGGGGGTGCTATAACGTTGCTGGTATAGGGCTTTTTCATGGGGGAGATCGGGTTTAGGGGTGACGGGACTCCGACGCCGACTCCAACCCCGACCCCTACCCCGACGCCCACCGCTCTGCGCGGGTCCCTGCCTGCCTGCAGCCCGCTCCAGGGGTTGGAGGCTGTGCTCCACGCGGCGTTTTGGTGGTTATTCCAAGCGGACGACGAGGCAGAAGAAGACGACGACGACCCCTTGCTGTTATTCATGATGGTTTGATAAGCGTTTCTCTGGGGGAAGGGGCCTTGGCTGGGGCTGACAGGAGATCTCCTCTGCTGGGGCTGCTGCTGCTGCTGTTGCTGCTGCTGCTGCTGCTGGGCTTGCTGCTGCTGCTGCTGCTGCTGCTGTTGATGCTGCTGGGACTGTGGAGCCAGACCGATCTGCGGGGAGAAATTACCCCCGAAGACCGGGTTGACGTGGTGTGGGAAGTTCTGGAAAAGCATCGTCCCGTTCACGGAGGGTATTCCCTGGAAAAAGCTATCGTCCACGGCGTTTGTGGTTCCCGTGGACCAAGTGCTCCCAAACGAGGAGGAAGGGGAGGAAAGGGGGCCGCCGGTCTCCTGCGGCTGGTGGTGGAAGCTCAACCCGGGCAGGATCGGCGACTCCATCGGCACTTTGTCCTTACTGCTGCTGCTGTTCAGCGCTGAAGCCGCTTGGTTGCTCCCGGTCGACGGGCTCTCCGACTCGGATGAAGAAGAAGTGGGCTCCGATGACGGGGTCGGTGTGGAGGGAGGAGGGTCTACTTGCGTCGGATCTTGCTGATGGTGAGGCTGGGCTTTGTTTTTGTCCATCAGTAAATCATCCTGCATGGTTTGCTGAGCTGCAACAGGGGAAAACAGACACGAGGAGTTATTATTATGGTGGTAATGTGGCGGATCGTGCACCGGACTTGCCGGGCTGCTGTAGTATCTGATGAAGTGGGACAACTCCGACAGGGATAGGATGTTAGAGGGACCAGGCGGCTGCAAAGCGAATGCGTGATCACCCATTTAGACGAAAAAAGAAGAAGAGGAAAAAACACACTTCCCAAGACTACACCAGAATGATTCATAAATCCCACAAATTACACACGGAGCATATGGCAGCAGATATTCACCAGATTTCGCCACGTCTCGTTTTTCCTTCCACGCAGGAACTCTCCGGAGCTGCAATGTGAAACTGATTCAGTGTGTGTTTTTGCCCAAGGACCTCCCCTATATTCATTTACATACGTCAGTAAATACAGCTGTCCTTCAGCAAGGTTAAAAGACAGTGCTACCTTGACCTAGGCACTTCCACACACACGATCACAGAGCCTTTTTTTCTTTTTTTTCAAGAAAACGCACACTTGGTCCTTTTTTTACGCAGCAGAAAGTGACGCACCTGGATCACTTCAGTAAAGCCTACCGCAAAGGCAAGACACTTCCCTTATAATAAAACCACTCCTAATTTGTTTAAACACAGTCGAAGATCGTGTAGAAAAAAAAAGACGACAAAGTTGGCTGAGTATGCAGCAGAGGTCCCTACAGAGATAATATGATTCATAGTAAGGGATTTTATTATAGCGCAAAGAGGGACTCTGCCCGAGGTCCGCATTGACACAGCCACGGGTTGGCATTTGCATAATACAACATGTACCTTGCATTTTAAGGCAGCAATACAATAACTTCACACCAAGGCAAGAATATCGCTGAAAACTCCACTCTTTGTCCTCTAATCAAACTTAGAAGAGGAGCCTTTCATGCAAAATTAACTTTGCATTTCAGAGACAACGCCTTGCATAAGTCCTATGAACAAACACACTCCGGACGGCAAATTTGCATCCAGAAATGTATAAAGTTGTTATAATAAATTCAACAGTGAGCATGCAATATAATCAAAAATGTAAACACACCTCAATATTCCTGATTACTGCAAGGCTATGCAGGGCAGCTGAGCATATTCTCAGGTGGAACAAATGCAAAGCTCATCCATAAGATATGACACAGACCATGAAATCATCCAAGGTTGAATATATGCTGAATTTAAACCGGTGGTAACATTGATCAAGGCTCCTCTGTACTGGCTGCAGCACAGCTAACATGCAAGCCTACACTGCAGGCCTTTCAATAACATGGATGCAATAATCTGTGGACTCTGAAAATAACACTCCAGATGACATGCCAGATCATTTCAGCACCATGATGGCAGTAATACAAGTTTCAAAAGCCTGCGGTTACACACACACACAAACACACACATACACATACACACTAACAGTTAATCCGTGTTTTCTCCTCCAAGAGCAACGCTTCCAAGGTCATCAAAACAGCATAATCAGCAGCCTACAGTGTCTCACCTCACCGGCCCTTCAGCACACACACACCGGCACAACCTGACCCTTCAACTGCCTATTTATCGCGCTCATCGAGACATCCGATATACATTTCATGAAGCTGTCTTGCCTTGAAATCCCCTCTCTAATCCATTTGTGTCCCCCTCCACACAAACGACAAAACAGCATGCACACACGCAGCGGTGGTCGCCTCTCTGCTCGCTCTGAAGCTGGAATTACCTTTATCGTTCACCTTTTGGGGACTCTGTAAATAAAGATATTTCTGTTTGTGCCTCGTCTGGGTTTAGATATGACAAACGAGCTACCCTTGTGCCGAGGTAGTCAGCAGTTGCCTCAACAGCTGATTGACTGCGGCGCATGGATGATGCCGAGGGGGCTGATGGGAGTTGTAGTTTTTTATTATGCAGTGCCTTCCAGATCTGCTTCTTCATGACTTGTGATGTAGAAAATACATTTATACTGTAGGCTATACATCGGCTTCGGAGTAAATCCACTGACTAGTTAAGGGACTTTGAAGAAGCAACTATAAAATGTAGGCTGTGATTGACTGCTGTTCTCTATCTCTCACCAGTGTTTATGACTGCATACAGCACCAGCTGTACTAAATTCATATACACTACTGCATTTTCTGAATAACTATATTGCTCACAAGAGGACAAGCAAAGCACAAATTAAGTGTGAAAAAAACTTAGTGTCAAAAAATGACATTATTAGTCTTGAGGTCATTTCCTCGTAATGATTGTATTTTCACGATTCCATTGCCTCACCTTGGACCACAGGAGCTGATTCAAAGCCTTAATATGATACGTTTGGCCCCATGGTTTGGCAATAAGAGCAAGAGAACCAGCATAGAACTACATTTCCCAGGTCGGGGGCTCGGTGTCCTTTGCGGTGTGGCCCTTGTTTTGATGACGCCACCACGCACGGACATGCTAGTTGACGTTACCTCAGAGACGGCCAGTCAATGGAGTCAAACGGTCACGCCAAAAGAGGCCGTAGCAGATGCAAACAGGATTTTTATTCGAAATACTGCATCGGTTGCAGATGAATGCCAATTAGACTGCCATGACCGCGAAGAAATAGTTCTACGCTGAATCGTTGGCTCGTTTGCAGCCGACGCGCCGTATCAACACAAAGGCCTGTGTAGCTAGTTAGCGGCAGCTCCTGAGCTAGCTAGCTAGCAAGTGATTTAACGCCGAGCTCAGCTGCAGCAAATCAGCAGTCGTGTCATTTTAATGTTTTATCTGTAACGCAGTCAACCTTCTCCACTAAGAAGACAGTATTTAAGTTTTTTTTCTTGTTTTGTTTTTGCTTCTCCACGATAATGGCGGAACAGAATGCAGTGGTCATGCAGCAGAATTTGGACAGGTGAGTTCAAGTTGAAGGCTAACATGCTACATAGCTTTACGTAAAATCACATCGGATTTCGTAACGGAGGGAAGTTGTTTATCTAAACACTCAGTATCTCGTTGACTTTGGTCACTAGTTATCATTTTATACCGCCAACTAACTTTAAACCCTCTTCTGAATATCAATTGCTTTAGCTAGACAGTGTGTTCTTTTGCACTGGTGAGAAAGGACGTCCTCGACTACGAGCCTCCAACATTTAAATGACTGATACTACGTTATTAAATCTTAGTATCCGCACATAACTTTAACGTTATATATATAGTTGTTGTGCGTGTGTACATTGCCATTTGCAAATTCTCTAAAAGTCATAGTGTCAGCTAGCACTTTCCCCAAACATTTGACCTGTAACTGTTGACCCTCAGACAAAGACAAGCGTGCACAGAGAAATTTCAGAAATTGTCACGTTCATAGTTCACAGCCATTATGACAGCGAGTAAGTAAACTTCCTGCTTATCTCGTGTTACTAAAGACTCTCATTATCATTTCTGTGTTAAGTGTGATTTCATTCATCTATGCATATACTATTTAAACACACTGTCGTGCACTGAATACCTACGTCTTGCTTATATTTGGTGCAGAACACTTCACTTCCTTGGTACGATGTCTGAATTGTCTGGATGAAAACAGTTTGTGTTGCCACACAGATTTATAAAAGGGAAAATCATATTGAGCATAGTTTGAGAAAACAGTGGAGTGGACATGCTGACATCTCAATTAAAAGAGGAAGTTGGGCATATTTTAGATACCTGCAAGAAAAAAGCAAAACAACAGAATGCAGACTGTGTTTTAAGGAGCAAAGTCAGTGTCTGGACATATCTGACTAAATACAAAGCTGAAGCGTCATAGAAATTGTTTGCTAAAACCTGTAAGCAACACGCATCAAGATGTGCAGAAGCAACAAACATAATTGGAAGCAGATGAGAAGCTGTGTCCATCCAAGGCTGCCACAAATCCCTTGGTGTGGTTTTTACACTTCATCAAACATGTTTGAGTTTTCATCTCTGTATCAACATGCTGTCCAGTTCTTACACACATTTTAATTAGTTTCTTTAGAACCCCCTGAGAAGTGTTTTACAGCAGACTTAAGCTCAAACAATTACTTACAGCACATCAGAAAGGCGGTGGCAGTTTTGCTTGTCAGAAACTAGTTTCATGGTCAATTTCATGGTCACGTGGAGAGGAGATGCATCATGACACATGGAGAACTATTTTGAGCTATAAACACATATAGCCCTGCCTTCAGGAACTTTGATTAGGTATGTCAGGGCGCACAGTCAGAACCTGTAAGGTCTCTTGTAGCAGATCATGAGCCGTGCTCACAACTGTGTCTCGTCACTTGGCCGACACACTAGGCAAAGAATCCAGACAATGCGACCTGACATTCATGACTAAAAGATCCTTTTATTTTTTTTGTAATAGCCAGCAGCTAGCCTCATAAGGTGACATTTTAAAATTACACAGAGAACATTGTTGTTCTGCCTGGTTTAGACGTTGGTGAGAGCAAGGTTAGTTCACCTAAAGAACTTACGTATACGCCTTCATGTAATATAATGTGAGCTATAACAATATCACACCTGTCAGTTATACCAGTAGAATCACATCTTGGCAGTGCATTGTGTTGGCAGCTTAAGCTCCAACTTTCTATAGTTTTTGTCTCATATCCTTAGCCAATACAGACAAATAAGGTGGTTTGGGTTCATGTGATGGTGAAACGTGATAGAAGCCATTACCGAGCTTGTTCTGTGTAACATCTGAGATGAAAAGGGAACCAAAATGACTTTCAATTTGCAGAATACAGTTTACCCATTTTAAAGACTGCATGAAATCATACTTCATGAAACTCGTAGAGCAGAGCCTAGTAAAATGTAGACGGTTCAGTTGTTTGGTCTAACCAGCCAATAACAGAGTCAGTAGTTGGCAGTTTAAGATATTAAGTCCAGCTTTTTTTAGAGTAGTGATTTTATCTGACCACAGAAAGACATGTCAACAGTAGCACTTATTTTGTAAGATGGTATTCAGAAACACAAGATAGTCGATGTGATCAGAGATTTAATAGGAACAGAAAGTTCTTACCTGCCAAGGTCAAGCTAAAGATCGTTGGTGGTGAATCTTCTGTGTATGTGATGGTGATGTTTTTTTTTAAACTTATTTTCAAGCTTTTCTGAAGTTCAGTCTGTGATCAAACAACGACAGGAGGGTTACCCTGCCACAAGAATTCAAAATACAAACTATCTTCATGTCGTCCAACAACAAGTAAATCAAAGTTCTACATTTTTCTGATGCTCTAAAATGTGCTTTTGAGGTGTTAATACACATTTAATTGTACAAACGTGGTCTTGACCTGTTCAGTTTCTATGCGTTTTTATGTGTGGCCTCATATTCTTAGTCAGGCCTTTTCTGTTTTAAACTGAAGTTGACTGAAGCCAAACAGTAGTTGCTTTTTTTTCTTTTTCTTTTTTGCATCCAGTAAAACTGCTGATAGGACTGAATGTAGTAGTTTAGCCAGCTGTGGTAAATGCAGCCATGACTGATCACAATAATGCTGCAGAACAAGATAAGTGAATTTACCTTCTAAAATGTAATAGAAGCTTTCCTTTCACGATGGAGGGGGTGGGTGTTTGAAAGAGGCCAAGTCATGATTTGCAAATTATTATCTTGCTTCTCTGTTAGAGGGCACGTGTGATTTTCAGAAGATAATTCAATTCTCCTCTTTAAAACTCTATGGATCAGTAACTAAAGTCCAAGTAATGAATTCTTTTTGATTTGGCAGGTGCATTATCAGTTTAGGAGTTTGACACACAAACCTCTCTGTTTTCAGCTGCTTGGCAGTGCACAGGAGTAAACTGCAAAATTGGATCCACATATAGTCCACAATGAGATTAGATGTGATAAAATCTTATTGTCTTCCACCAAGTGAGGATGGAGTCCTGTTTTCAGCTTGGACATAGATAAATCTTGGAACACTGTCACAAGTGACCAGGCTAGTGTCAGTACACCCTTGATTCAGGCTGTGATAATAAGGGGCCATGGATTTGGTTAGGTACTTGTTTCTGTGAGTCAGACTGCCAGCATGCAGCCTGTCGGTCCCTGTCATGCTACATGTGTGACCAGAGCCTGTGGGTGATGGTGAGGAGATGCTGTAACACTGAGTGCAGGCACATTTGTGTGCCGTTTCTTTCAAAATAGTGACCAGCACTTTGATAGCTTGTGCATTGCGTGCTAAAAGGCATTTGTAGGCATTTGACACTTTACTTTCTGTCAATATTGATCTTTGCAACCATTTCCCAAGCACACGGTACAGTAGCCGAAAGAAAGGTAGGGCATGTGAGCTTTGTGAAATCTGCTATAGCTGCGTATTGCAGGAGGCAGAGGCAATAATCCTGACAGTGTTTGAGGAGCCGATAGCAGGAAGATATATGTTATGTCCCCTTGCTTCGAGACAGTTGTGTACCCAGCCTCTATCACTGACAAACATAAGGCTCCACAGGCTCTTATCTGGGCCTGCCACAAGCAGCCAGCCGCCCCTGCAATGCAGTGTTTCACAAATAGATGTGGGAGACACATTTCAATCCACCCTGACCTTTTTATTGGCTCTCATACCACCTCCTTGTTTTACTCTTTTCTTGTCTGGTTTTGTTGTCCTGAGTGCTGACCCTGTTGCTCTCTGCATGAATGGGTCGATAAATATGTTCTGTGTGTATATTTATGAAGGCTAATAGTAATAATGGAGTGTGCAGCTATGATTTTGTACAGTTTTTGGTATGGGGTGACATCAGCATCCAAAGGCACGGTTAACTTTAGAACTTATAAATTAAGGCTTGTAGCTTATTAAACTGCCGTGTGACTCACCGGATGTAGGTTGTGGGTATAAGCGTGTCATTAACGTTCTCCTCCACTTCTGCTGTCTACATGTTAATGTTTTCAAAATCCGCTTCACTATTAGAAAGAACAACGACCACATCTAAGCAGCAACCTACCCCGCTGAAAAATTCAAGTTTTACGGAGGATTTGGGATGCACAGTAAGACAGCTTTGCTAGTTTTGATTTTTTGTGTGTGAGTTAGCCATTTTAACGATGATGCTCACCTCCCTGTGTGCACATTTATACCAAAACAGTTCCAAACATTTTGCTGAAACATTTTTGCTGCATCCTTTGCTTAGCTCGACCCAACACCGTTATGATTGGTTAAAGAAATACAAACAAGATGCAGCGTTTCTTTCCCCCTGTAGCACAATGACAATGAGGTGTGAGACTAATCAAACTTTTCTATCATGAAAAACAACTGGAAAAACTTGCCATATTTTTAATGCACCATGTCAAGGACTTATTCCAAGAGACTGAAATCATTTGCTGGTCAGCAGCTGAACTTGTCTTGCTTTGATAACCTGCAGCCCACATAAATAACCTGTCATGCATGGCATTAGCTTCAGAGAAGGCACCAGCCAAAGGACACATTTTAGCCAGGAGGCTTGAGTTATTTAAACCACGCACTTCATACCTTTTTTACACTGTGAACACTTACAGGCAGCACAATAATATGATCAAGACATTTAAGACCGATGTTACATGTAAACCTGAAATGTGAGCTACGTGACTAGTGAGTAAAGTTTTGGATTATTAAACTGTAATCTACCACTGGTCATAGTCTTCTTAACTTTGGAAGCCAGCCACTTGTGGGCCCATGAAAGCATAAGCAAGTGCTTTTTCCTGGACTCGTGTGCACGTGTCAAAATAATACAAAGGTCACAGTGCCTCATACTGCAGGCGTTACAAGTACACACATTTGTTATGGAGTAGGCTGAGGCTGTAATAGAGCGAGAGGCTCATGTGTTAGTTGACTAAGTGGACAAAGTTTACTTCCATGTGAATCACTGATAAACGGCATAAACACACCTCCCTCAGTAATGGCTTAGATTTGAGGCAGTGTTGTTTTTGAAATGGTCCAACTCTTATATACT